CTTCATCTTCATGGTATTTTGACCAAAGCTTGTCAAAGATATTACATTAGGACACCAGGGACCTAGTTTAACTTGTTGAAATAGGGTATAATATGTCTCCTTTAAGTGGCACAAATCACGACTGAGTTTTTCTGTGCATAAGAACGAAAACATTTCAGCAATCCGCTTAGCTTTGAGTTTATTTGACATTAATGTAAAATTCCCTCTTTTTCACACATGGTCCTCAACAGAGGCAAAGCTTTGCATGACCTGTAAATTAGCGTAAAGAGAAGTAAACAGAAGTTTCCTTCCTGGATACAGAAAGTAGCAGTGTAGCAGGTTGAACTGCAGCATTAACTTGTGTTGTCATAAGCACCAAGGCCATCAGAGTAAAGCTGGGCATACACTGTACGATTTTTGCCCCTTTTGTCATTATTGACTCGTGCAACAATTTCTTGAATCGGGCAGAGTTTCAGCTCACTGGTGCATCTCTCCTGATCGACAATCGTATGGTCGGGTGAATATCAAACCGGTTTGAATTTCTGGTCAGCCCTCGTGAGGGAATCGTGTTATTGAAGCAATGTTACAAGCGTCTACGACCCGATTACCCACTGGGCCTGTGCAAACACAAAAGTGGGAGTAACACTGAGTATCAGGGCAGCTATTTGTGTGTCTTGGAATCAAACAATGGAAGCACAACTTGTGGAACTCTGGCAGGCTCAGCCGTGCCTGTTCGACGAGACCTCCCAGCATTGTTATAACCCAAATATAAGAGAGAAAAGTTGGGGGGAGATTGCTGCACAATATTGATGATAAAATTCACAATACACTGTCTTCTGTTTTTTTTTTTAAAGCTTTCGGCAAACACAATCTCGAAAATTACCAAGGCAATGCTTTTAGCTTTGGTGACCCTCATATCCCTTCAGTGTTGTTCAACTTGTCTTCTTAATCTTCTATTTCAAGTCTGACGCGCGTTTTGAACCTGCAGTGTGAGCGGTCAGATCGGAAAAGAGTATCAGGTTGTATAGTGTGAGAACATAAATTGTGAGATGCAAACTTTTAACCCCTACAATTTGGTCATGCAGTTTGAGCTGGAGCTACAGTATGTGCAACAATTTTAAATATTGCACAGTGTAGGCCTTACTGAAGCAATGTTGCGAGCAATGTTACGAGCGTCTACGATCCAATTACTCACTATCTCTGGAACTTCGCCTGTGCAAACACAAAAGTGGAAGTGACACTGAGTGGTCAGAGGTATCATGAAGTTATGTGAAAGCTGTTTCTACTTACCTCTAGTTCACGCCGTACAATTGACAGGCCATATTGGCCCACGCTGCACAGCCATTTCCTAGCCAAAATAGACCATCTTCTGCTCTTTTTAAAGCTTTCGGCAGACACAATCGCGCAATTTGCCAAGGCAGCGCTTTTAGCTTTGGTGACCTTCACATTCCTTCCATTTTGTTTAACTTCGTCTTCTTCGTCTTCAACTTCAAGTCCGACGTGCGTTTTTGGTTGTACAATGTGAGCGGTCAGATTGCATAAAAGTATCCGGTTGTATAGTGTGAGAACAAAATCGTGAGCTGCGAACTTTTAACCCTTACGATTTGGTCGAGCAGTTTGAGCTGGAGCTACGTGCAATGATTGAAAATATCGCACAGTGTATGCCCTGCTTGAGTGAGCTGCATACTCACAGAGATGTTTTCAGTCTGGAGAATGGCCTTGATTAATGCTTTTATCTCAGAAGCCTTGAAAGTTTTTATTCCAATAGATCTGACAAAAAAATCAGTGTTCTAACAATGCGCAAAAATCCGTAACAACACCAATTCATATCTGTAAACTATATAAATGGTGACAGACTTACCAACAGCCTTTCTACAGGCCCCAGTGAGCAGCTGTAGCAACTCTGCTGCTTCAGCAGAAAAGTTTCTTGGCAATCAGTTTAATATCAGAGTGAAAGGAACAGTTAAACAAAACCAATCAGTTAGTGCCTGTCAGAGTCACGTGATGCTGATGCATCTGCAAAGAATCCTGTCTAAATCAGACCGAGGTGTGTCTGTCCTTAGAGTACAAAGCTGCTCCAACGCTGAAGCACTATCAGCACTAATGGTAGGTCTTCAGATGTGGGGAGAAAAGTTAAGAATATAACCATATTTAAATAGTGGCATTTGGCCTGTCATGAAACACAGAAGTGTTTGTCTGAGCAGTGAGGTCTGAAGGTTTTTTCTGCGGAAGAATGATAACAACAGAATGAGGTCAAAATCCTCAAATGAGTGTAGTCTACTGTCCAATGTGATACACGGCTTATACTTGCAACCCCCACTGTCTGCCTTTGTCTGCTCCATGTTCTTGCAAAAGAACAGATGTCATACAGCCACCACAGTATTTGAAATACCAGATGTATGAGCAGTTTGAAGTTAGTCTAGTTTGAGTTCTAGGTTAAGATTAGTAAAGCTGACTCTGCTTCAGATGTCAATTAGGCAGGGGACGCTTTTTTACCCTGAATGAGATATTTTGGGATGAGAGAACCTGGAGGCTTGAAGAAAAATAGAAATTAGGAATGAAGCTCCTACAAGAAAATATCATGAACCAAAATTGCAGAGTGCACCAATTGCAGAGAGAACCAAAGAAAATGCAGAGTGTGTGCAAAGCAGTAATCACAGCAAAAGGTGGCTACTTTGAAGAACCTTTGAAGAAAGGAGTATAAGAAATATTTTCAGTTGTTTCACACTTTTGAGTTAAGAATATAATTCCCCATGTGTTAATTCATAGATTTGATGCCTTCAGTGTGAATCTACAATTTTGATAGTCATGAAAATAAAGAAAACTCTTTTAATGAGAAGGTGTGTCCAATCTTTTGGTCTGTACTGTATATAGACTCGGCAACACGGCAATACGGCAACAGGCACGCGCCAATTACATGTATCAACCCAGTTTGTGATTGATTGGGCAGTCAGAGTTTCGGCTCGGCTGCTTGCTGCCGCACTTCGCGTCTCACCCTTGTATTTCAACAGGAAATATGCAATTTCAGCGATTTTGACAATGAAAATGTTGCAATTAGTCAGTCATACATCAGTGGACAAATATTGGTATTTATTTAATGTTATATTTTTTTAATTGTCATGATGACAGGTGAGGCAGAGCCGAAGTTGGCCAACAACAAACAACAAAACTGAGATTTACACCGGTTCACCGTCTGATCGCTGACTCCTATTCTCCACTCTGCCACATCTAAGATGGCGGCGACGTTGACATACGATTCAGCACTCAATGCGGTGTCTACATATACAGGGAAACTGAAACACCTCTCAATTTAGTGTGGGAGGTTTCATGGCTAAATTGGACCAGCCTGGTGGCCAATCTTCATTAATTGCACATTGAACCAACAAGAGCAGACTGTAAAGGTCCAATTAGCAGGGTAAAAGCACAGTTTTGCTCAAAATATTGCAATGCACACCGCATTATGGGTGACATACCAGAGTTAAAAAAAGGACAAATTGTTGGTGCACGTCTTGCTGGCGCATCTGTGACCAAGACAGCAAGTCTTTGTGATGTATCAAGAGCCACGGTATCCAGGGTAATGTCAGCATACTACCAAGAAGGACGAACCACATCCAACAGGATTACCTGTGGACGCAAGAGGAAGCTGTCTGAAAGGGATGTTCGGGTGCTAACCCGGATTGTATCCAAAAAACATAAAACCACGGCTGCCCAAATCACAGAAGAATTAAATGTGCACCTCAGCTCTCCTGTTTCCACCAAAACTGTCCGTCGGGAGCTCCATAGTGTCAATATACACGGCCGGGCTGCTATAGCCAAACCTTCGGTCACTCGTGCCAATGCCAAACGTCGGTTTCAATGGTGCAAGGAGTGCAAATCTTGGGATGTGGACAATGTGAAACATGTATTGTTCTCTGATGAGTCCGCCTTTACTGTTTTCCCCACATCCGGGAGAGTTACGGTGTGGAGAAGCCCCAAAGAAGCGTACCACCCAGACTGTTGCATGCCCAGAGTGAAGCATGGGGGTGGATCAGTGATGGTTTGGGCTGCCATATCATGGCATTCCCTTGGCCCCATACTTGTGCTAGATGGGCGCATCACTGCCAAGGACTACCGAACCATTCTGGAGGGCCATGTGCATCCAATGGTTCAAACACTGTATCCTGAAGGAGGTGCCGTGTATCAGGATGACAATGCACCAATACACACAGCAAGACTGGTGAAAGATTGGTTTGATGAACATGAAAGTGAAGTTGAACATTGTGACAGTCGTGTCACCGTGGGTGCCCCGACAGAGTCTTTTAGAGACCAAGATTCGTTGGTAACAGGTTTTATTTCGAGCGTGTGTGCGGCCCACACACACACTCTCTCGCACACACACACACACACACACACTCACGCACGCCCGGCTAGGGCTCTTTGGTTGGGTGTCGTTCGCCTGCTTGGTCCCAAGCTGGTGGCTTGGGTTCTGCTTCGGCTCTGCTCAAAACCAGTCCTCCCCAGGTCCAGCACACTACTCTTTTTACAGAGGGGAGAGTGATTAGCCAACCGGTTCCAGGTGTGTCTAATCATCTCCCCTGGCACTGCTCACCTGAGCCTTCTCCACCCCTCCCCCCTGCAGCTGAGCGCCACGCCCCCTCCACAAACATCTCCCATGGCCTGTACAGTCACCAGATCTAAATATTATTGAGCCACTTTGGGGTGTTTTGGAGGAGCGAGTCAGGAAACGTTTTCCTCCACCAGCATCACGTCATGACCTGGCCACTATCCTGCAAGAAGAATGGCTTAAAATCCCTCTGACCACTGTGCAGGACTTGTATATGTCATTCCCAAGACAAATTAATTCTGTATTGGCCGCAAAAGGAGGCCCTACACCATACTAATGAAGTATTGTGGTCCAAAACCAGGTGTTTCAGTTTCATTGTCCAATCCCTGTATGTGTCTATGGTTTTATCGACGACAGTACGATCGGCTGTGTACTATTTGTTACCTCTGGCTTGCTGTAGAAAGACGCAATGCGCATGCTCTCTCTTGTTTATACCATAATGGCGTCCTACCTAAACGTTTTTGGCTTGCATGTGAGAAGGACCAACCTTGGGAAATTCATCCACAAAGTTAACACAGTATTTTACAGACGAACTGGGACAGACGTGGTTGGCGCTCAGGTTGACGCTGCTTCCAGACACGCTAGCGGTTAGTATGACGTGTTTAAACACGTTTGCTTAGGGGCTGATCAACATGATAATTATAGATACTGTAGATAGATTACTTTATTCGTCCCCAAAAGGAAATCTGGTTAATATTGTACATTTTCTTTAGAGACTACTCTTTCACATATGTAGTTCTAAGTTTATGTAAATAAATACAGTCGTTTGTGAATGAATAATGCTTGGCTATTATTTTTTTAAGGACCCATCGTCTAATACTCTCAAACTGGCAGCTTTTGTACATAAAATAGATAGATAAAAACTTCATTAATTCAGCTGCCCGCTAACAAACATAGTAACACACGTTATTACACATACACGAATAAATAATGATATTATTATTATCATTATTTATTCGTGTATGTGTAATAATGATAAAATGAAAAAGAACTACACCCAATAGAATCTAAATTAAATTGAAAATAAAGTGCACACATTGAATTCTGTTCAGACGCATCCGTTGAACAGCCTAGCAGTGGAGGGGACAAACTATTCTTTTAATCGCTATTTTCTGAAGTGTAATGACATTGCAGAGGCTGTTTGTCATTACTCAGGGTGCCCCATTAAAGCCCCCATAAACCAGGAAATATGTCCATGTGTTCAAATAAGCAAGGTTGAGTTGAATGTCCATCCTGCAGCTGTCTTAACCTAACAAATAAAAAGTATGGTGTGTTTTGGTTTGTCAGACATTAAGTGTAAATTGTGCACATGTCTGCTTCCTGTATTTTGTATGCTGCCCTTTTACACTGGATGTACCACTGATCAGTGAGACCTTTTTAATCATAACTGGGCTTTACTTGATTAAGAGATGCTTGAGAAAATATCCCTTCAAGGGAAGTTTTTTAACTGTTGTATTTCTGTTTCTCTGTCATCAGGTGAAAAGAATGGATGCAAGTCATTGCACAGTCTTTTGGTGGAAAGACAAAGACAGGCAGAGAAATCTGTTCTCATCAGCTGTCAGTCAAAGACTAATGAGAAAAAGTTACTGAAATATTTGTCAAGACACGGAGACATCAAGAGGCACTTCTTTTATGAAAGTTATGTAAGTGTCAAATCATCCTCATTTCACAAGTGAACGCTATGTTCTTACTTGTTTGTAAGTGCATGTGTAACAAACTTTACAGCTCTCATAGGATTTAGTTAAGCTGAAGTCAAGGTTTATGTGTGCTTGTTTTATGCTCTAGGGGGTCTATGCAGTAGTGGAGTTTGCCAACAAGGACAGTGTTGCATCTTTACTTCATACAGTTGCAGTGCCTTGTGTTAGCCATGAATCCATAGTGCCTTTTAAATCAAGATTGCTGTCACTCAGAAACTCTAGTTTGGTTATCTCATCAAACCAATCGTCACAAATTCAATGCCTACCTCAAACCCCCATCCTCATGAATGAAGTCATCCAGAGGCTGTCCAAAGAAGATACTGTAAGTAGTTGGGTCACAATGTAAGAAAAGATTTTGTACTTCTATTGAGATGGTATTGAAAGAACTAGTTGACTTTTATTCTAATTTTCCATCAGCTCGATAGACAGATAACTTCCCTGACAGAATTCTACCAACTTACAGAGGAGAACATCAGACTCCGTTTCCTAGTCTGCTCCCTGCTCAAAGATATTGCTGCTGCCTACTTTCCTGAGTGCACAGTCAAACCGTTTGGTTCATCAGTAAACGGCTTTGGAAAGCTGGGCTGTGACCTGGACATGTTTCTGGATCTTGACAGCATCAGTGGGTGGACTACAGAATTGGTAATCATGATGCATTTTTAGTTTATATAGTATCTGTCTTTAGACTGTATTTATGCTGCCAATCTAGCATGTCTATGTTTTTATATTATAGAAATATTTTTCCCACAGCTGTGTTAGATGGTTTTAACATCTTATTGGCAAGATTTTTTAGATGTGCCAGACTTAAGCTTTTTTGTTTTGGTACAGTGTTTGAGTATGAAGAGAATAATCTCCATATGTGACACTGTATTTAAATGCTGTTCAAATAAATTGAAATTCCAAAATATGATGTTTTTTCCATAGGTTGATTTTATGATTTTTAGATACAAACTTTTACTTTGTGTTTGCAGACTAAATCAGGTCTACTCTTAGAATACCAGATGAAACCGGCAAACTCAGAGCGGGCTGTCACCCAGAGCATTCTGTCTGTCATCGGGGAGTGTTTAGATCAGTTTGGCCCTGGATGTGTCGGAGTGCATAAGATTCTTAATGCTCGATGCCCTCTTGTCCGTTTCTCCCATCAACCCTCTGGTTTTCAGTGTGACCTCACAGCTAATAACAGGTACTTTCTCCATGAACATATTTATATTTGCTGTGTTACATTGATCTGGACTTGCCCAGGCAATTCAGATCTACTTTTAAAAACATTTTTACCACAAACTTGTTCTCTGAAATGTTGTAAAAAAAATGTGATGAAGTGTTGCTTGCAAGATTGTAATAATTGGTAACAATTGTTTAACTGGATGCTATTTACAGGGTGGCGATGAAGAGCACAGAGCTTCTCTATGTGTATGGAAAGTTGGATCCACGGGTACAAAGCCTGGTTTGCACAGTGCGCTGCTGGGCCCGGGCTCATGGCATCACCAGCAGCATATCAGGGGCCTGGATCACCAACTTTTCCCTCACAATCATGGTGCTTTTCTTCCTGCAAAAAAGAAACCCTCCCATAATCCCCACACTGGACCACCTACAAGACCTTGCAGGTACCAGGCAGAACTTGCATACCATAATCTACAAGTTAAGAAGTCCTACTGGTATGAAGGATTTTTCAAATCCTTCGGCACAATGAGATAAAGGCACAGAAAGTAAAAGTATGATATTTATGGAATGCCAGAACAAAAAAATCTTCTTTGAAATATATTCTAAATCTAACAGGAAGTCAGACATTTTTGTAGACACGAAACTCAATAGATTGTATCATACAGGTCTGAAAATATGTATATTGTGCCAAGATAAGTCTGAATAAGTAGTATTAAAAGTGTGAATTTTAATCAGTTGGTGTCGCTTAGGGATGTCCATAAATTTTAATCTTGGCCAAAAGTTGATCTTGCAATATTGTGGCTAATCTTTTGCTGTCTCAATGTCTTGCAGATTTTTTAATTGTAAATTTTTCATTTTGTATTAAGGATTCAGTGTAGCATGGGATTTTGCAGTACATAGTTATTTTTCAGTATTTATTATTTTAATGATTTGTGTGATTAAAATAAGCATTTATAAGGCCAAAATATTAAACAACATAAAAGTGATGATCTAAACATATTGAAATAAGATAAAATCTTTATACATTATGGATTTACATACATTCAGGTTAAGAATGACTGATGGCACCTAACAGATACCATCATTTTTTGACTATTGAACGCACCTGAAGCCCCATCAGTATCTTTATAAAGAAAAGAACGTACATATATAAACCGCACTTGTCTATAAGACACGTGTCCACAAAGTAACTTGAGATATTTTTAAAGAAATGTTATTTCAACTTTTGATTAAATAGCTGTATATTATTGAAATAAGCATCACATAAACTTAGGGATGCCCTTAAGGAAGAGGGCTGCATAAAATTGGGACCAAGTGGGTGGGAGAGAAATTCATGGGTTACTGTGTGCTAACAGTGAACCACCAGGTCATACCCGGTGGTGTTGCTTCTAAGCTGGTCCTCGACTCTTCTGTATGTTGCCTTATTTTCACGGACACCTGTTTTCAGGTTGACCCCTTGCTGTACTGTAGAATGCCTTGTCCTTCAACCTGAAAGCAATGTTCCTAGTTTTCACCAGGCTCTGGACCTCCTTCGTCAACCAGGGCTTCCTGGATGCAGGGCTTCCTGGATGACGAAGGGATAAATATTTATTAGTTTGTACTGTGCCTCTGGATAAAGTAATGTAATCCAGGACTGCTGTGGTGTGATTCCCCGGGTCCTGGTTAGCCAAAATCTCCTAGTTGATTGTTTGGAATATATTCTGTAGCTGATGGGGGTATCCATTGGCCATGTGCAAACAGTCTAGGTCATAATGGGAGCTTCTTTTCACAAGGAGGTGTATGCAGCAATGTACATGCGATCTGGCCATAGTGTACTGGGGATTTAGCCCTCTAGGTCCATCTAATGTTCATGTCCAACCTGTCTAGTGTTTTTTGTCTCCTGGTTGTGCAGTTTATATGTCGATGACATTTCTGGAGGACTACTTTCAGATCACAATGATTGAGAAGCCTCAGAATAATATTTCCGCTTGTTTTTGATGGTATCCTGCAAAAGCCACAGACAGAGTTGAGCTAGCATTAGAATGTGGTGCTTTATGCACAGCAGTGAATAGTACGCTCATCTCACGGGGTAGATAAAGGGTCTGCATTGAATATGGAGTTCATGACAACATGAGGGGTACACTAACATTTCCATCTGTACTGCCTGATAAACTTGCTCCATGGATCTCCATTATCACATGCACTGAAGTCAGAGGGTGCTCGCAGTAGCTAGTCTAGGATAAGGTTTCCTCATTGCTGTTGTTGTTTTCTTGAATAGTGGACACTGGATTATTACTTTTTCGGGGTTTTTTCTTTTCTTTTTTTCCCATCCGCATTTCATTTCTTCTGCCATATGACCTGTATGGAAGACCACCTCATACCAATTCATAATCTGATCCCTGTGTGGCTTTTTAAAGTTAGGAGTGTAGACAGGGTTGCATTGTTCACTCAAAAAAACAGTTCCTTTCTTTCTTTCCTCTGTTTATATTTGGTAGTCACTGTTAGGTCTGATAGCATTTACTGGCCATCTTTTTCTCAGTCAGCGTTGATAACATATAAAAGGTGCCTTTCCATTGTGTGCTTAAATCATGTATAAATAAGCATGTGCTCCTATATGTCTGTTTGCGGACGCTTTTCTTTTAGCTTAGTGAAGGTCGGTTAACTTTTTTAAGTGCTCAACCACTCACCTAGCAGCTAACACATTTTGCTATTGGTTGTTTTTAAGGTGTTTCGTAAAACTCAAGTGTGGTGTACATTTTACTGATGTTCACCCATACTTCTCTGCCAAAAGTTTATTGCTGTAACTAAATTAAAGGACAACAACTTAAACTTTATGTAGGGGGAATAGTCACATTTTTCAATCAGTTCTACAAGGTATTCTGAAATATTAACTGTCTGCCTGTCTTCCATGGGGAGAGTGTTTAAAGTTAAAATTAAAATACAGTAAAATCTCATTTCCCAGTTGGTTCCATTGTAGAAACGAGGTCACTCCCATATATCCCTCAACAGCTACATTGGTCCGAGTGTCTTTTATGATTGCATTATCATCAGTTCTCATTAAGAGTTTCTTTTTGCTTGGCTTTTGCATGTTTCCAAACTGCCTTTGGAAATATACTTCCACACGTCTAACCCTCTTTCTTCAATTCCTCCAATTTTCCACACCCTAAATCAGGTTGGTAAAATATACTCAAAGTTAATATCCAGAATGAAGTAATCAAGCAATTAGAAAAACATTGCCTCTAAATCAAGGACCCCTCAGCCAAGAAATTATTTGTATACCTTGGCGTGAGAAGAGTTTGGGGAGGCCATGGAAAAAGACTTCCGTACGGCCTCGAGGCGATTCTGGTCCACCATCCAGCGTCTCAGGGGGGGAAGCAGGGCCCCACCAACACTGTTTACAGTGGGGATGGTGTGCTGTTGACCTCAATTCGTGACGTTGTGGGTCGGTGAGCGGAGTACTTCGAGGACCTCCTCAATCCCACTGGCGCGTCCTCCATTGGAGGGGCAGAGCCTGGGGATCCGGAGTTGGGATCTCTAATCTCTGGGGCTGAAGTCACCGAGGTAGTCAAAAAGCTCCGCGGTGGCAAGGCTCCATGGGTGGATGAGATTCGGCCGGAGTTCCTCAAGGCTTTGGATGTTGTGGGGCTGCGTTGGCTAACGCGACTCTGCAACATCGGGTGGACATCAGGGGCAGTTCCGCTGGATTGGCAGACTGGGGTTGTGGTCCCCCTATTTCAAAAGGGGGACCGAAGGGTGTGTTCCAACTACAGGGGGATCACACTCTTAAGCCTCCCATGGAAGGTCTATTCAGCGGTTCTGGAGAGGAGGGTCCGTTGGATAGTCGAGCCTCGGATTGAGGAGGAACAGTGTGGTTTTCGTTCTGGCCGTGGAACGCTGGACCAGCTCTATACCCTCAGCGGGGTCCTGGAGGGTGCATGGGAGTTCGCTCAACCAGTCCACATGTGTTTTGTGGACTTGGAGAAGTCGTTCGACCGTGTCCCTCGGGGTATCCTGTGGGGGGTGCTCCGGGATAATGGGGTACCTGGCCCCTTGTTACGGGCTGTTCGGTCCCTGTACGACCGGAGTCAGAGTTTGGTTCGCATTGCCGGTAGTAAGTCGGACCTGTTTCCGGTGGGAGTTGGACTCCGCCAAGGTTGCCCTATGTCTCCGGTCCTGTTCATAACTTTTAAGGACAGGATTTCTAGGCGCAGCCGGGGTGTTGAGGGTGTCAGTCTTGGTGGCCTTAGGATCGCATCTCTGCTTTTTGCAGATGATGTGGTCCTGTTAGCTTCATCAAGTCGGGACCTACAGCTCTCGCTGGAGCGGTTCGCAGCCGAGTGCGAAGCGGCTGGGATGAGGATCAGTGCCTCCAAGTCCGACACCATGGTCTCTCACCAGAAAAGGGTAGAGTGCCTTCTCCGGGTCGGAGCGGACGTCCTTCCCCAAGTGTGCAAGAGTTCAAGTATCTCGGGGTCTTGTTCGCGAATGGGGGTAGGGAGCGTGAGATCGATAGGCGGATCGGTGCGGCGTCTGCAGTAATGCGGGCGCTGTACCGGTCTGTCGTGATGAAGAAAGAGTTGAGCCTAAAGGCGAAGCTCTCGATTTATCGGTCGATCTACGTTCCCACCCTTGTCTATGGACACGAACTTTGGGAAGTGACCGAAAGAACGAGATCGCGGATACAAGCAGCCGAAATGAGTTTCCTTCGCAGGGTGGCTGGGCTCTCCCTTAGAGATAGGGTGAGGAGCTTGGTCATCCGGGAGGGGTTCAGAGTAGAGCCGCTGCTCCTCCACGTGGAGAGGAGCCAGTTGAGGTGGCTCGGGCATCTGATCAGGATGCCTCCTGGTTGCCTCCCTGGGGAGGTGTTCCGGGCTCGTCCCACCGGGAGAAGGCCCAGAGGAAGACCCAGGACACGCTGGAGGGACTATGTGTCCCGGCTGGCCTGGGAACGCCTCGGGATCCCCCCGGAGGAGCTGGCGGAAGTGGCAGGGGAGAGGGAAGTCTGGGTCTCCCTGCTTCGGCTACTGCCCCCGCGACCCAACCCCGGATAAGCGGAGGATAATGGATGGATGGATGGATGGATGGATGGATGGATGGATGGATGGAATTGAAATTCCCCTCACATTCCCCATGCATTTTATGAAAAATATGAAATACTTTGATTACCTTGCCGAAATCTTGCTCTTTTTTTTCCATCCTAATTTAATTTTTTTTGTTGTAAATAATGGATCATTGGACAGCTTCACCCACCACCTCCCTCTGAGTCAAACATTCGACTTAAATTCCTTCTAAAAGTGCACTGGACAAGGGCCAAACTAGTTAATACTTTTCCTGATGTTGAATCCATATACCCTATTGTAAAAGTCAGATATAAAAACGTTTTCTTGTTCTGCCTGTATCTTACGACATTTCTTTACTTGTTCACGAATGTATAGTGCTTTCATCCCTACAAACGTGTTTTTGGCTTTACCGATAAATCCCCTTCTCTCAAAGGCTAATTTATGTAGTTGTAGCCATCACCTCTCTTCTCTCTATGGTAGACATGGTATGAATAAAATCTCCCACATTTAGAACATCGTTTAGAAACATCTCATTTCTGCAACTAGAAAAAATCTGCTAAATAGAGAGCCAAGTATCCTTTGGTGTTATGTTTACTGTATTTACAATGTATAAAAACATTATTTTTATCTTTCTAAAGAAAATAATTTTTGAAATGGAAGAAATCTTTTGAATAATGCCTTGTTTCCCTCTTTTACGTCATTTTGTTTAATTGATGTTCAGCAGTTTTTTCAGGTTAGTGATGATCCAGGGTTTGGTAAGCACCTTACTGTTCTGCACTGCAGCTCTACCTCAATCACTGCTCCTGAAGTCTCAGTCAGGAAAAGACGTGCAATATGTTTTATGTCTGTAATTTCTGTGAAAGGTTTTTGTTTTAACTTGTTTCCCCATTCTTATTATCACTAGGTCCTGCAGACAAGTGTGTGATTGATGGGAAAAACTGTACATTTGTCAGTGATTTTAGCAAGATCCAACTACCAGGCAACAAAGAGGCATTAGGTGAGCACAGGAATGTATAGTGAGGAAAATAAGTATTTGAACACCCTGCTATTTTGCAAGTTCTCCCACATAGAAATCATGGAGGGGTCTGAAATTGTCATCGTAGGTGCATGTCCACTGTGACATAATATAAAAAATTTTAAAAAATCCAGAAATCACAATGTATGATTTTTTAAACTATTTGTTGCAAATAATTATTTGAACACGTGAGAGTGAGAAAATCAATGTTAATGTTTGTTACAGTAGCCGTTGTTTGCAATTACAGAGCTCAAATGTTTCCTGTACTTTTTCACCAGGTTTGCAAACACTGCAGGAGGGATTTTTGCCCACTCCTCCACACAGATCTTCTCTAGATTAGTCAGGTTTACGGGCTGTCGCTTTTGAGCTCCCTCCAAAGATTCTCTATTGGGTTTAGGTCTGTAGATTGGCGAGGCCACGCCAGAACCTTGATATGCTTCTTACAGAGCCACTCCTTGGTTATCCTGGCTGTGTGCTTCGGGTCATTGTCATATTGGATGACCCAGCCTTGACACATCTTCAATGCTCTGAGGGAAGGAACTTGTTCAAAATCTCGGTATACATGGCCCTGGTCATCCTCTCCTTAATACAGTGAAGTCGCCCTGTCCCATGTGCAGAAAAACACACCCAAAGCATGATGCTACCACCCCCATGTTTCACAGTAGGTAGATGGTGTTAAAATAAGATTGAATTGAATTCAAATGGTCATTGGCAAACTTAAGACGGGCCTTGACATGTGCTGGTTAAAGCAGGGGAACCTTCTGTGCCATGCATGATTTCAAACCATGACGTTTTAGTATATTGCCAACAATAACCTTGGAAATGGTGGTCCCAGCTCTTTTCAGGTCATTGACCCGCTCCTCCCGTGTAGTTCTGGACTTTCTCACCTTCCTTAGGATCATTGAGACCCCACGAGGTGAGATCTTGCATGGAGCCCCATTCCAAGAGAGATTGACAGTCATGTTTAGCTTCTTCCATTTTCTTTCTCACCAAGCTCCTTGACAAATTACCCGTAGCCCTTTCCAGCCTTGTGGAGGTGTAACATTTTGTCTCAAGTGTCTTTGGACAGCTATTTGGTTAGTAGTTGGATTCTTACTAATTGTATGGGGTGGACAGGTCTCTTTATGCAGCTAATGTGGTCCATCAAGTTTAGGATAATAAATGGAGTGGACATTTTAAAGGCAGACTAAAAGGTCTTTGAGGGTCAGAATTCTACCTGATAGACAGGTGTTCAAATAGCTATTTGCAGCCGTATCATACAAATACATAGTTTTAAAAAATCATGTATTGTGACTACTGGATTTTTTCTTTTAGATTATGTCTCTCACAGTGGACATGCACCTATGATGACAATTTCAGACCCCTCCAATATTTCTAAGTGGGAGAACTTGCAAAATAGAAAGGTGTTCAAATACTTATTTTCCTCACTGTATAATCAATCCCAAAGGGTGTTAATTTACATTGAAGGACGTCAATGGTTGTATTGCAGGACTTTTTTCCTAACTTTACATCTGTTGCTGTGTTTCAGAGGAACTGCTGTGTGAGTTCTTTGAGTTCTACGCGACTTTTCCATTCAACAGAATGTCCATAAATATCAGGAAGGTACAAATAAATAAATCTTACTGCTTATTCAAATAAAAACTTTAATTTCAACCACATTTTACATGTATATATTGACAGTTCTATATAAGACACATTTTTGTATTTTTTAGCCTTTTGTAACTTCTTTTGCAGTCATTCATGCAATATTGTTGGAACAGAATGAAACTGTCATTAGACTGACTTAAACAGCATAGTATTTTTTGTCTTCCCCCATCCTTATTTATCTGTCCTTATTGATGAATGAAATAGAAGAAATATCTGATTAAGTACATTAAATGATGAAAATTGTTATTAAGTAGTTGTAAAAAAAAAAGTAGACGAAAGGAGGGATTGATATGCAACTTTTCACAGTTCTGGTATAGTTCACATTGTATTTCAGTTGGCGTATATTAATTCACCATCTCTCCTGCCCATTCGTCCATCTGTTATATATACATTCTGTACTGCACTGAAGAACGAGAGTAAAATATAAAATCCATTCAGAAACCTAAGAACCTTGTAAGTACATTATTATAATTTATCCATGACATCACTCAGTATGTTTTATTCTTTACTTGTTTCTTTTATTCTTTAATTTTCCTTTTGCTGGAAATTCTGTTAGTCAAAACAAGCCTTTGGTGAATGTCATCTTGCCAAACACCAATGAAAGTCTTTTACTCTGCTGTTAATGTCTTAATTGAGATTCCTGTTACACGAATACATGAGCAAATACACATACATTCTCACAAAAGTTAAGCAGGAGTTGTGTTTGGAAGGGCATCCTGCGCAAAGAAAAAAAAGTCTCATATAAAAAAAATTACCATGAGAGTCAATATTGATGTGGTGTGTTGACTCCTGATGGTAAAAGCTGAAAGGCAAACTACACGGTCATTATAACTGTGTCTCTTGTACATACATTTTACAACCTACCTCATCTTCTATATTTAGGTTAAAACATTCAAACACAATTGGAAAAAGTCCTTAATTTTTCTTTCATTTACATTGTTGTCACTTAAACCTGCAGCTTACATGTCTTTGCCCTTTTTTTCTCTCTCCAGGGACAAGAGCAGAACAAGCCAGAGGTGTCACCACTGCACATCCAGAACCCATTTGAATCCTCTCTAAATATCAGCCAGAATGTCAATACTACCCAACTAAAGAATTTTGTGACTTTGTGTCAAGAGAGTTCATGGCTACTCTACCAGAGTAAAACCATGTCACCCAAAGGTGTTGCAGTAGACAGCACTACCACAACTTGGGGGATCGCCACCCTACTCCTACCATCACGAGTGCCAGGGATCAAAGGTCACAGGAAAAGACGGGAGCCTGCCAGTGAGAGGATCAAGAGTTTGCTGGAATCCTTGAAGTATAAAACTCAGCAGAAGAAGACTAAAGACTGAGAATCTCAATAATGTACTATAACAATAACCCATCCTTTTGAGGCAGTACTTGGGTGTTAAATGTCTCACTTCAAAGTGAAGAAGCAGCATCCAAAAGTTGGACTTGTTCTCAGAATGGATTTGTTAGCATTGAGAATGTTACTGTGCTATGTGTTTATGTGGGAAAATATAGCATTGAGACTGTACATTACTTTTTAACTCCCTAAGTGGTTGTGATTAAAAATTACACTGGGTAATACTGGGAGAGTATTTAATTTTTTTTTTAGTAAAGGCTTTTTTGTACATATTAACTGATGCACTCAGCATGAACCTTGATTTGTGTGCGGAGATCATGTACTATGAGTGAAATTTCATGAATGGTTTGTCACCTTCATGGTCAGCAGTGAGTTCCATATTGTTGACAAGCGAAAAGTATATATTCTGAGGAATTTAAACTGGCCTCACTAAATTGGAGGTTCTTGATTTTGCAATCAAATGTGTGTGCAAATTATGAATATTGATTTTCTGAAATTGTTATGATTCCACTAGAGACCAGATGTGCTCCGCAGGTTTGAATTCCTCTTTTGGTACGTCACAAGTTAGTTAACATGTATTTATATTATTTATATTTAGTAATAACAGCAGTAATTTCCTTTAAAAAAAAAAACAACTGTCTCTTCTCCTTAAGATGGAGATGAAAATTCCTAAATCCTGAAATGAAGACCTTACTGTCCTATATTGTACCAAGATCTAGTCCAGCCATTATTTGTTCTCTGTAATATAGATGTATTGCTTTTTTTTGGCAGGCTTGAACATGCACACAATCTTGCAGAATTTCATGCACACTCCCAGTTGAAAACCATGCTTTAGTGGGGTAAATTGCCTCATAGGACCACTATTTGCTGTAGTTTTTAATGTTTTTTTTATTTTTTTTCCCAATGTCCTGTTCAGCTTTATGGCAGCTGAACTGAGTACCGTGCTATGCTGAACAAATTTGCTTTGCCAAGGGAGGCTTTGTTGGTGAGAAGCCCCCCTTTATTACCCAAAACTGCTTTATTATCTTATTTTTATTACCAAACTTTACACATGTCCAATAATGCCGAACCTGACAGAGCGACAGGGAAGGAGGAAAAGCACAGAAAAACAAACCTGAAAAGGAGAAATTTGACAGAGAAAGATAGAAGAAAAAAAGAAAGACAACATAACCATACAACCTGCTGCTATGTCTGTACAAAAGAAACTGTTTCATGTGGGAAATCCGGGTAGCGAACCTATAGGAGCTAATGCAAATGGACACGGAAGACAAAAGGACAAACAAGCAACAAAAGCAACAACACTGGTACCAGGGACATTAGTGAGCTTCTCAGAACTGCAGCAACTGTACAGTAGCTTAGGGAGGCCCGTGTCTGGGTAACTGACTGTGTGTGTGTGTGTGTGTGTGTGTGTGTGTGTGTGTGTGTGTGTGTGCGTGCGTGTGTGTGCGTGTGTGTGTGTGTGAAAGATTAAGAACCCCCAGCCCAGGTTTCCCAGATTGTGTTTAGTTATGGTGCAGAGTGGCCACCAGCCAAAGCTCCCCCCTCCAGCGCTCCGAACAGGGCAGAGAGTGCCCCTAGACTCAGTCCAGGAGTAGCCACCTTCGCACAGATCCCCGGAAGATGACCACATACACAACCGGGCGCCGACCCAGAAGGCAACTAGGGAAGCCCGTCCAGAAGATCCCACCACTGTTGAACAGAGCCCCCCCAAAACCACGAGCGACAGCACACCAGCCTCCAACAGGCCCCGTCCCCCAGACACAGGCCGACAACCGGAACCCAAGCCTGCGAGCCCAAGCACTACCAAACCCTCCAAGCAGAAGCCCACACACCCCCAGCATCTGAAGGGGCCAGGCACCCCAGATGACCAGAAGCATAAAAATACCAAGAAAGTAAAATAGATAGTAATAATATTAATAAAACAAATTAAAGAAAAGGATAAACATAAATGAATAAATATGTAAATTAATCATCCTGTGGATGTAGCAGGCACCTCCTGGGTCGGCAAAGCCCACCGCCACAGACCCGGGACCAGCAGAGGCACCCCAGGACCCCCAGGAACCAGGCAGACCCCAGGCAACAGGGGTGCAAGAAGTAATACATTATTGTTGTTAATAAAATGTTCCTCCTTCTCTTCAGGTATCCATGAGCAGTTACGGTGTTTGTTTGCTGTCATTCCTGTCCTCTCAAACCCCACAACTGGTGGGGGCAGATGGCGCTGAGTCTGGACGAGGATTCTTCCAGCTGAAAGAGAGATCTCCAGAGCATCTTTTTCTTTGTAAAGAAAAAGATTTCTCTTTACAAAGTCTCGTAGTGCACGCTCAAGATAGGGGATTGGATTGAAGAGAAGAATCGGTGCAATAAACAGTTGTCTTTAGCTAGAATTTTTCTCAATTACAGCTGTGTGATCCAGTTAGTCTGTAAGACATTTCTTTGGCCTCTACCTTAGAGATATAAGAAAACTAACAGAATCTGTTATTTCACACTTCGTTGCCAGCCTCTCTACCTTTTTAAGATGAGTCTTATAATGGTCAACCATGTCTGACCTCCGTCCGGGCAGCCTTGGCAATTCATCAGTCCCTATTTTTTTGGTGTTTGATCAGAATACCCTCCGATTTTTTTTATTCATTTGGCGGAAATAAAGGACTGCATTCTCGCCAGAGGAAACTTGAAATGCAGACCGACAGATGTGCGTCCCTCCCGGCGCTACATGGGGTGGCGGGCCAGTGTCCACCGCATGTGGAGGAGAAGAGGACATCATATAGCCACTCCCTGCTATCTGCATGTCAAGTGTATGCTGTCTTTGCAATTATATGGACAAAAATAGCATCTTTTGACAGTCTAACAAGAACTTTGTAAGCAACTTTGCTCTTTTCTTTTGTGAGACCTGGCTGCATGTCAGTTTCTGACACCGCTTTGGAGTTACCTGGACTCTAGATGATTAGGGTGAACTGTGATACAGAGGCCAGCAAAAAATCGAAGGGAGGAGGTCTGTGTTTTTACTTAAATAGTAACCGATGCACGGATGCAGTGATTTTCCACCAATACTGTTGTGGCATCCGGAAATCATTTTGACTGTAAATAGGTGGAAACTTTTCTGCAAAACTTGGGGGTTCTCGTGATGGGAGATTTCAACACGTGTAATCTCTCACAGGAGCTTCCGAACTACAAACAGATGGTGACATGCTATGCTGGACAACACCCTGGACCAGTTCCTCTTCATCATAAAACACTTATTCTGCTCCATCCCCCTTGCCCACTTGGGTATTCTGACCTCAGCATTAATTAGATGGTCCCTACATACAGGCAGCAACTGAAGAGGTCCAAACCATACAGGACTGCTTCAGGATTGCATGGAGTCTACTGACTGGGAGTCACTGAGGGGCCCTGAGGTTGACAACAGCATTTTGGCAAGACACTTACATCAGCAACTGTAAGCAGGTCTGCAGGTCTCAGAAACACAGATCGGAATTGGCAACCACCATTTTGTGCTGATTTTATTTGTTTGTGTCTGTTTCACTAACTGAGGGTGCACCACATTACCAAACTTAACTTGAGGAGAACCAAAAACAAAGAAGTGAACAGTATTACCAAAAAGGTTTACCAACAAAAGGTTATTTCATCTCGGAAATTATGTAAACTTCAGGTTAAGGAAATAACCTAAACTTTCTGAAGATAAGGGGAGCAGTTTCTATAAAGCTAAAAATTAGAATCCTTATTGGAGATTGAGGTATTACATATGTATGCTACATTCGTTTTAACACAGTTACATAGACAGTGAGAACATTTATTCTCAAGGGATTCTAATGACATTCAAATTTTGATATCAGGAAATCACACATAATACGAGGAAACTATCCACGGTTTTCTGTGGTGTCCCTCGATGAGAAACCTAACTAAATAATATTTACATTATATGAGAAATGTGACCCTATTGCTGTGAAAAGTCCCTCCCTCCTATTCAGAAGAGGGGGTGTTTCTACAGAGCTGTGATGTAGTAAGGAGGGGCTTTTCCCTTAGCACATCCGAGCTAAGTTTGTCATGAGAATGCAAAGGATGATCACTGTGGACTAGTTGGCGATGCAAGAATAATTTCACAGGTAAAAGTAGCTCCAGATCGAAAAACACTCCACTAAGTTTGGCTTTCTGCTTCCCTTCTTTAATGTCACGACCCGCGAGCTGGTTGTAGGAGAGGGCTGATGCAGCTGTGAGTGAGCAGGGGTTGGAAGTCGCATCTGTTCAACATTTAGCTTTTCCTTTGGTTCCCTTAACTTGCAGCTATACCCAGTCAGCTCCTTCAGCCTGCTGCGTGTCTGGGCCCGTTTCTTATAAATATGATCTTACAAACAGAGCGACACTTCTTGGACACATTATTAATAGGTGTCCAGGATTTTGAGCTCAGTTTCTTTAAAAAACGTTTGTCACTTAAAGTGTGTGTTGGTGTTTGTTATTTTCTGCCGCTGTCGTTCCTATCAAATGAAGGTTAAAGATTGCTTATGTAGCTAGCCACGGTACGGTTTGCTCTTGCATATTCCTGCTTTGGAAAAGAGGCCAAACAAGATACTTGAAATATTGAACGGCACAGGCATTGTTCGTCATCGGGAGATGCGTTAGTCAAAACAGTTGATATCCAGTTTTGACTCGTATGATTACTCTGTAGTGTCCTGAAGCTTCTATGCAGGTGTTCCTAAGACAGTGTCCTGCAAAGGAACAGTAAGGCGTCAGAGTAATAAAAAAAGTACCACAAATGAAATACTGTCATCACGGATAACTCACACACATATAATGTATGAATGTTCATCCAGTATCGACTCTTTTTAATTGTCAAATTACATTTAAGCTTCACACATAGACTGCCTAAATACAGACTGTTTTCACGAATATCGCGATTTCTATACTAAACTGTAAACTGCGCACTGTCATAGCTGCGATGCTATGTTAACAAGCTACCACGGAACTAACGGGGTTAGCATCATGCCAAGCCTATCAATCATGTTTACAACATGTGATGACACCATTCAGATCCCATTAAGTACAGCTCTGGGTTCTGTTCTGATATGTTGAAGGACCAAATGGCGACGAAAATCTACAAATATTGCTAAAATGTTATGCTTCTTTTAGGTGCATTTTGCTGTTTATTCGCGCCTGCAGCATATATGGAATGATATGGCTATTGATTGACCTGTCCAAGCCTTTGTCCACGTAGTATCTTGCAAAAGTACATCTTT